TTACAGTAGGCTGAGGATACAGATATTGCAGTTTATGGATGTGGTACATGAATGGAGGATATTTACAGTAGGCTGAGGATACAGATATTACAGTGTATGGATGTGGTACATGGAAGGAGGATACTTACTGTAGTCTCAGGATAAGGATATTACAGTGTATGGATGTGGTACATGGATGGAGGATACTTACAATAGGCTGAGGATACAGATATTGCAGTGTATGGATGTGGTGCATGGATTGAGGATGTGGATATTACAGTGTATGGATGTGGTATATGGATGGAGGATACTTACAGTAGGCTGAGGATACAGATATTACAGTGTATGGTATTGAACTGGTGCAGTGAAGGATGAATGATATTGTAGAGCATGAATGAGCTGCAGGGAAGAAAGATGGCTTCAGGAGGCTGATATTATTGGATATTGCATAGTAATAACCTGCTGGATCTGTTAAAATTCTTAAATCGGGTTTGGATGTTAATACATATGTCTCCTTATATTCCAGGTTTGGAACGTGTGACCATGCTGTATTTAGGGCTGCACAATGTCCGCCAAACGTCCATGTTCCCCCGTGATCCTAAGAGATTGACCCCATAGACGAACTTGTGGATCTAAAGAGAAGTGACCTGCTTCCAACCAGTAACGCCAGGGTTTAGGACAATAATCTTGATCCACCCCACCCAAGCACACCAAAATGTAAACGCAGCATTTTGTACGGAAATAAAATCACTCTACGATAGATTTTAACAGATTTTCAAACTAATATATTACTTGAATGTTTTCTAAAGAGCCATTTAAAGGCAACAATGTAATCATAGGTTCTGCAAATAAATTGTTAAATTGCTGCGGTGTAGAAAGAACCCTGTAATTATATGAACAATAGCAAGAACATAACAAAAAGGCGAAGCAGGTTGTATAGAAGCATTGAATAAAATTGTGTGATCTACTATACAGCATGTACTTATTTACAAATTGGGAAACATCTCCTTGCGCATTGCATTAAATGTGATGGAATTTCGGTGTTTGAAATAGTAGTAGTAGAATTATGTATGGCAAAGACCTGGATGAAACCAATCTTTCATGGTGAGACTTCTTAACCATTTACTGCTGGACAGAGCTACGTACACATGCTGTTTAACACATTCATTGCAGAAAAGTTTAACTCCTTTAGTATCAGGCGTAAGCATGATAATTGTACAAAAGCTGTTTAATCTGTTCACTGGCAGAGGGCTAAATTAAGATTTGTGGAGAATTTAGATTTGTTTTTTGGCTTTGATAATTTCTCCACTATTCCTAGTTTAATGAATAAACCGCAAAAATGTTGGTCACAACTGTTACACTGAAGTAGTTCAAGGAGACGAATGTATGTACTAAGCGGATTATGTAGGCATCATGAAACTGAAAGAATCAGCCAGCGTGTTACAATATACCAACCTAAGTTACTCTGGAAAGGCAGCCATCCACAGGTCCCAGTGATTTACATTAAGTCGCATATTAAAGTATATGTCAGGATGTTCAGAGCAGAACGCTAAAATAGCACTGCTAGAAAATGTATGTAAGAATGTGTTTTACTCCAGTTCAAACAGAATAGGATTATTTTTTTTTTTTGGTACATCCCAGCTCATGCCTAAATATCCTGGACTGTTTTTAGTCCTTGGACATCTTATAGAAACAGAAAAAATATATACAGGGCGCCACAATCACCAGATAAATAAACGAAAAAGATGAAGATAATATTGTTTTATTTGATAATGTGCACCAACAATGTGCAAATAGTATAAAATATATTCACATAAAAAGCCTCAATAGGCTAAAAGACCCATAGGTATAGCAGCTCTTATATAACATGAAAAAGTGCTAAATGCTAAAGTGCAGACAGTAATATAAAGTGCAGAGTGCAACTCCCATCACTTCAAGCTGGTAAACATAAACAATGTCCACAACTAGTCACATAGACAAAAATCATGTGAAACAGAAACTGCTGATACCAAAGTAGAAGGGTCCCCAATGCTGCTCAACGCGTTTCGTCCTTGAGACTTCGTCAGGAGCTTCTTGATCTTCCCTCTTTCTTCTCTCTTTTAAATCCGCCGGTCTGCCGCTTCTTTCGTGACTACGCATGCGCCCGTCACGCGCACCGTCATACGTCATGACGCACGCGTGAACGTACTGCGCATGCGCGGCCACGTTGGAACGCAAATAACTTTATTGTTCAATGTACATAGTAGCAACTGAACGTCCTATAACAAGAACGTTCATAATACTACTGAGACTATCTGATGATTAAATAAACGTTGCTTCATAGGGAAGGGAAGAAGGGAGGAGGGGAAGAAAAAAAAATTTTTTAAACCACAAAATGTGTATATATATTAATATAGACCAAAAATCTAAATATATATATATATAAAAAGAGGTGCATATAGCACAAATAGAGAAATTGATATATTTTTAAATATACAATTTCTCTATTTGTGCTATATGCACCTCTTTTTATATATATATATATTTTGATTTTTGGTCTATATTAATATATATACACATTTTGTGGTTTAAAAATTTTTTTTCTTCCCCTCCTCCCTTCTTCCCTTCCCTATGAAGCAACGTTTATTTAATCATCAGATAGTCTCAGTAGTATTATGAACGTTCTTGTTATAGGACGTTCAGTTGCTACTATGTACATTGAACAATAAAGTTATTTGCGTTCCAACGTGGCCGCGCATGCGCAGTACGTTCACGCGTGCGTCATGACGTATGACGGTGCGCGTGACGGGCGCATGCGTGGTCACGAAAGAACCGGCAGACCGGCGGATTTAAAAGAGAGAAGAAAGAGGGAAGATCAAGAAGCTCCTGACGAAGTCTCAAGGACGAAACGCGTTGAGCAGCATTGGGGACCCTTCTACTTTGGTATCAGCAGTTTCTGTTTCACATGATTTTTTTGTCTATGTGACTAGTTGTGGACATTGTTTATGTTTACCAGCTTGAAGTGATGGGAGTTGCACTCTGCCACTTTATATTACTGTCTGCACTTTAGCATTTAGCACTTTTTCATGTTATATAAGAGCTGCTATACCTATGGGTCTTTTAGCCTATTGAGGCTTTTTATGTGAATATATTTTATACTATTTGCACATTGTTGGTGCACATTATCAAATAAAACAATATTATCTTCATCTTTTTCGTTTATTTATCTGGTGATTGTGGCGCCCTGTATATATTTTTTCTGTTTCTATTGGATGTTTTAAGGTTTGAGTGACCTTTTACAGTGGCTTGCCTGCATACAGATATCACTACACTTCACCCAACCCTGTATTTGTTCTTGGACATCTTATATACTCATGCAATTTAGATTATAACTTCCATTCAATTTTCTCTTTGCTCCAGCACGGATTTTCACTGTTCCTAGGTACATTTTCTTCCAGATATCCATTCTATCCCTCTGCCTTTTTGCAGAGACTGTAAATGTTATCTCCCCACACCGATACCCATGCTGAGTGTAAAGCATTCTTCGAAGGTCATACTTCATGCCTAATGCAAGGATTACTTCTTAGCTGAGGCTCATAGGAAATGTCCTTCACAAACTTCTGCAGTGCTCGCTTTAGACATTGATGCACTAGGTTTTTTTGGGGGGTGTGGGGTTTGATTGGCTGAATATTCCACAGGCAACTTCTCATTATTCACTCTTATCCAACCATTACAGTTTAGGTTCAACTAAATCAAAAGTGCTCAATATAAGCCCTAAAAGTGTCGGGATTCTACAACTTAGCCCCATGGACTGTTGGAGCATGTGCATTCATGGCTTAAACCTCAGTGGAATAAATTGTTGTGTTTGGATACCCCGTGTGTAGATTACACTTTATGGCTACTATTAGTATTACTTTTATAAAGTACCAACATTTTCTGTATCTTTGCGTGATGGGTAACTCAACAAAGGTAGTGAAGTGAAGACTTAATACCTTAATAGGCAAACCAAAAGGAGGAAAGGAAATCCGTGCCGAGAGCCTGAAATTTAGCTTGCAAAACCTATTTCTAAGAATGCAGCAGAATGTTGTCTGTGAGCTTGTAGTCTAAAGGTTATAATGAATAGTGAGATATAAGGTGGCGGAGACCACTTCAAATCTGCAAAATGTTAAATGCAGGGAATGCCGCAAACTGCCCATGGTGGGATTCTGTAGTAAAATATTAAAGCGACACTCCAGATCTGTAAAATACTTAAGCTTGCTGAGGTGCTTTTTATTTAAAGAATGTATAAATTTTTTTATTTTATAATTATACACTGAACAAAATTATAAACACAACACTTTTGTTTTTGCCCCCATTTTTCATGAGCTGTACTCAAAGATCTAAGACTATTTCTCTCAAATATTGTTCACATATCTGTCTAAATCTGTGTTAGTGAGCACTTCTCCTTTGCTGAGATAGTCCATCCACCTCACATGTGTGGCATATCAAGATGCTGATTAGACAGCGTGATTATTGCACAGGTGTGCCCTAGCCTGGCCACAATAAAAGGCCACTCTAAAATGGGACACTCCAGGCTCCTATTTGTAAAGCATTTTTTAGCTATTGTATATTTTTTAAGTTCAAATATTTGCTCATTTTAGGAAAACTTGCAAAGCACAGAGTTTATTATATATGTAGTTCATCACTAGGTAGTAGTTTCATTCATAAGAAAACATAAGTGAAACTACTGCACAAGGTTAGAGCTGAATTAACTTTTCCCGCTGCACTTTTCATGTGTTTTTATTTTGTTGTTTACTTGGTGATTGATGTAGCCACAAAGTTTCCTCTCAAAAACCTGTGGGATTTTTAGAAGACATGGGGCCATAATATACCATACGGACATCCCAGACGGACATCCCATACCGACATCCCATACAAGATCTGGTACTGTAATGTATTTGAATACAAGAATAGACTTCAAACTACCGAAATTTTATCAAATTGCCTCCGATATTAGAAACCATGTAGAATTAGACAGGGACAGTGGATCTCAATGCACGTAACCTATACAAAAAGTTATTACCACGGTTTTCAGGTCAAAATGTTTCGTGATCCCTGTATTGGTGACTAATTTAAACTCTACAAAGGACTCAGAATTATTTTATTTGATAATTACAGGTCAAGAGATGGAGGCACCTCTCTCTGCATAAAACCCATGGTACTCAAGTGTGTCTTCAAAATTAAGAGCAATCCCAAACAGACCTTAGTCTGCTGTATTTTTGACAGAATCTCTCAATGGAAAAAAAAATAAATAAAAATCCTTTCGAATGTCACAAGGAAGTGCTGAAATTTTGAGCTGTCATCTTCAAGCACAAGGTACAATAAAGTCTGAAATACGAGGATGAGGTTTGTTAAATGCCGTCCATCAGTGGTGCTCAGCAGGAAACAGCTCTCAAACCACAGTGCTATTTCTCAGCCGTCTAAAATAACTAACGCGCAGTTAGCTTGATATCTTGCTGAACTTATAATCATGATGTCAATATCAATTTTGTATCAAAGAAAATCACTTATTTTTTTCTTATGCCTTATGTAGGTCCCAGATAACATGGATTTATTAGTTGGCTGGCTAGCATCTTGCAGTCACAATACAAAAACTGTATTTTATACACAGGGCAACACAGACGTTCACAGAGTAGGCCAGAAGTTGAGGTAATTTAATAAACTCTGGCGGAGTTCAAAATTGGCAAATAATCCCTATATTTCACCTGAAGTGTGGCCATTTCCTGTAGTCATATGGGAGGTACATTCAGACCGACATCCCCAATGTAAAAATTACATTCAGAGCAATGTCTGCTTAAAAATAAATAAAATACAACTGTAAATCAAATTTCAAAATGCATAGGTTCTGAAGAAAAGAAAATTTGTCTGTGAATTTGTTCATTTGAAGTCAAATTGTCTGTTTTTACAACATAATTACAATGAATGGGATTTTCTGTGCAGACAATGGGCAATATGTTTGTTGAAAAAGAAAGAAAAGCTCTTTAATATCCAAGAGGAAACCAGGACTAGGTTCCCCAATTCTCTCTTCACGTCAGCTGGTTTAGAGAGGTTTGAAGAAGGAACCCACTACAGCATGCGAAGACCACATTTAACTGGTGTTACATATATAGTTGCGCAGTTTGCCTGGAATGAAAAGGGTTGATGATATTGCTTGCGGCTCCCCAAGACCCTCTTCTAAAAAGGAATGTGTCCTGGGCTCCCTGCCATAGATATACTCCAGACGCTATAACCAATTCAATGAGATGGTTATAGTGGCTACAGTGTGCCTTTAAGATAGTGGTCCAAATGTCTTATACTGATTGCCACACAATGATTTTAGCACTGAATGGAGTAGAATGGAACCCATGTCACTTATTAGTAACCCATTCTCTACCCACACAATGTCTTCTCACCTCCCACATGCATAATTTGGTAGGTGCCCCGTGGCAAGGCATTGAAGCACTGACCTGAATGTTAAGCTGGCCATGTGCCAAGTAGTAGGAATAAATAATATGTAGTGGATATAAAGTGCAGAAAAGAAACCCGATGTGAGTACCTGTAGTTCTCTTGGGCCCTGGACAGCAGCCCCCTTTTCCCCCTGCGTTAAAGACTGATCTGTAAACTGCAGACCAACAACCCACAGGGAGGAGGTTATAGCACTACCAATAATCAGATCTATGTTTATTGCAGGTCTTAGATTTTCTTTTTATTCTGTTCTACCAATGATCATAATATGCGCTATTATCTTTCTCTGCTTGTCTTATTTTTCCATCTGTTCAGATTCGCGGCTGTAAGCCCATATTTACCAGTACTGCTGGACCATTACATAATATTTCTGCTACAGATAACCTCCTGTTGTCTTTATAAATTACATTTTGTTATTTCCGCTGTTGTGTTCCTCACGCTATAATTATTTATTATCATCCTTTACTAAGAAGCTGCCAATGACACCTCCACTAAATGGGTGATTTTTTTTAACCAAGTGAGAACTATTTATCTTGCTGTGTAAGTCACATGTATGTTACTGAACTCCTATTCACAATGAATGCCATTTTAGCATGTTACTGTAAGTTTTAATGCTTTAAAGCTGCGTGATACTCTAATACAAATGCACATAAATATGTTTTATGTACATGGAGCCTTACTGCACATAACTGAGTTTTATATTTATGAAGCTCTGTGATATGCTAATATACACCGCGCAATCTAATGTGTTTTTTAGCTGTGGAGCTCTGTTATATTCCTTGTACTGCTATTACCGTGAGTTTTTGTGATGCAGTCAAACTCGCTGCACGTTACTGCAAATTCTACTGCTGCGAAGCTCTGTGTTATGCTGGTGTTTTTTTGTTTTGTTTTTAATTAATCATCCATACTTTTAGCAAAATGGAAATCTATTCGCTTTAGGGATATCTTTTCTTAAACAGTGAGTAATTTTATTACAGCTAGAGAGTACAGCAGACTTAAACCATTGGCAGTGCGCCGGTTAATGTCCTCTGTGTCTAATTATTCATTCTAGAAATTAATAGCGGAGCTGGGTGTCCTAACAGGTCGGACTTTGTCAGATACAATCATCACATTTACTGATAACACACCAACACTTCCACCTCCTGCTGAATTGCAGAATAAGTTACCGCTCTCGATCAAGGCACAGACATAAATATATCAGGCAATTTCAGCTGACGCTTGGCGAATGTATCTGCGGTGTATCTGGGAGCCATCCTCACTTCGCAGTAAATTAGTCTGCTGTCCCCAGGAAGTAAATAAAACGCATCTTGCTTTCCTTTCGGCTGGAGATTTTGAAACCAAAAAACAAGGTTATCTCTCAAATTTGTTATTTCCTGGTTTATATCACTCTCACGCTCTCGTTGTTATAGGAGCTATTACCTTGGAAAAAGATTCTGGGCCGCACTGGTTTTGAGATAGGGAATGTCTTGTAGGAGACCTATAGGGCAACATTTTCATATATACATAATAATATTACACTTTTTTATTTTTTGAATATTTAAATGTATTTGCTTCTGTCTCAAGTCATTTTAGTTAAAGGAACACTAGCCTTAGAAATACAAATTTTTGTTCCTGTTCCTACTCCTTTCCTGATCCCCCCCTGGTGCAATAAAACATTTAATAAAACAAAGTTTTACTCACCTTTTTCCAGTGTTGAGACACCTTCAGAGCTGTTTAGCTCTCCTACCCCAGCTACATCACAAAGGAGCCATAACTTCCTCCGCAAGGGTCCTATCCATTACTCCTCATAGAGAAGTATTGGAGACTTACAGTGCACGCGTGGTGAGTGCAATACGCACATTCAAAGTTCCCCATAGGAAAGTATTAAATCAAAGCTTTGCTATGGGACTTCCGCTTCACGTTACTTAGTCGGTATCGGGATACCGCTTCTAGTGGCTCTTATACTGACAACCACTAGAGGTGGACCTAACCCTGCAATGTAAACATTGCAGTTTCTTCAAAACATCAATGTTTTACATTGCAGGGCTAAAAGGACAGCGACACTGGACTCAGACCACTTAATTGAGATGGCGTGCTGAGTGACTATAGTGTCCCTTTAACTTTTAGTGTACTGGATCAGTAATGCGTAACTATCAACATTGAAATGTATGTAATTTGGAGCAAGAGGAGCACAGGTGAAGTCTCAATTACACAACTTGCCAAAAAAGGGCGATGTTAGTTTGTGCGCTTGACTAGAAATCTGACGTGTTCACCAATCCTCTAACGGCTGTCCATACCAGTGGCGGATCCAGGGGGGGGGGGCAACCCGAGAAATCCGCCGGTCTCCCTCCCAGCCCTGCAATGTGCCTACGGACCGGAGGGAAGATCAGAGCTCTCCCTCCCCGGTCCGCAGGCACTGTGCTGGCGGCCAGCGGGGGAGGGAGGTAGTGAGAAAGAGGACCCGGAAGCTAAAGCTGCAGCTCCTCCGAGTCCTACTCTCGTGAGATTTGAAGCGTTGCCGCGGTTACCACGGCAACGCTCCAAATCTCGCGAGAGTTCAATCTCCCCACTGGGACCACCAGGGAAATGCCCCCCCTCCTCCCCAGTAAAGGTAAGAAGGGAGGGGGGGGCATAGAATATTTATATTAAAAATTCAAATAAAAAATATATTTTTTTTTAAAAAAAGCCCCCTACCCTTATCACACACACACTGATCCCCATACTGCCCCCCCATACACCCATACTGTCCCCCATACACAGACACTGCCCCCCATACACACTGCCGCCCCATACACACACATCCACTGCAACTGTTACACACACATACTGTCCCACACATACACTGCCGCCCTCACACACACATTGCACCACTCACACACACCACTGCTCCTATGCCCTACTACTGCCCCATTTCCCAGCAGACCTCAGGTAAGTTGTCAAACTGTTCTTAAACGGTTTGACTACTTACTCTGGGAGGGGGTCCCGGCACTATTGACACCATAACCACTACACTGAGCTGTAGTGGTTATTGTGTCTGGATTATTTCTTTAAATAATCTACAAGTGCCCCTCCCGAGATCAGGCTCTGGATCCGCCACTGGTCCATACACAGACTGTTTCTAAAGCACTCTCATATGGAATAAAGTCCCTGGGGTAGCTTAAGTCTAAGTGTGAGTGTTCAATGGTGAGCTTGGGGCTGCATTTTCCAGGTCTTTGTCTCTGATGTTTCCAGCTGGGGACACCATAATGCCAATCCTAGCAGCATGTTCTGGATAGTCTCTACATTGACAAGAGTCCCGGTATCCAAAGTGTAACTATAGTGGTCACAATGCCACCACCACCCCGATACCAAATACATGGAAGAAGCCAGTGGGACAAAGACAGTTTATTTTATACAACAGGGCACACATACACAGTAGAGGACTCAGAAGGTTGGTCATTATGCAAGGAATCTAGTAATCTTCAGATGTTCATTATCGCCCCACAGACTAGGAGGTTGGAGACAGTATTGGGGACAACTTCAAGGGGGTCTGAACGAATTTGAGCTTACCTACAACCCTTTCTAACTTTTAATAATATACAGAATATCAACGTTATCAATACACAGGTTAATGCACAGAGACACTCTTGAGTGAACTTAATAAGGTGTTTAGGTGTTGATGGTGTTAGATAATATACCATTCTCCATACAATTAGCAGCTACAACACTTGCGTGGGTTTTCCCACTTCCAAGGATTTCAGTGTAGAATACTTTATCAAAATAATTGAAAAAAGCTATATAACCCTACAGGTAAAACTTTTTAAAACAAAGG